CTTTGCTGCCTTGTTTTTTTAATATCTGAAAGATGTCTTTTAAAATGACTAATATTTTTAGAGATTATCTAGATACTTGTCCTGAAGTAATTTTTGTTTTATTTACTTTTAGTTTAATTAAGGTTATAAAAAATGTATTGCAGGTTTAAATAAATACAGGCAAAAAGAAATTGCTGTTGAAGTTTGCCAAAAAGCCAGAGAGGAACATGAGCTTCAGTTTATCAAGGTATCAATCTAAAGAAACACATGTGCATATATTATGTGATTATCACAGGTTGTTAATACTTGGGAGGTGGTTGGCCAGTGAAAAAGCTGCTGACGTAGTGTAAAATCAAATTACATTTTGTGGTTTTTGGAGGAGAATAGGGTCAGATACAGTATATACAATGGCACAGTAAGCAATGAATAAAAGCTGATTTCTTTTGTTGCATTTGCTAAACTTTTGTTTAGACGAATATGCATGTATGTACCTTTAAGTTAGTTAGAATAAAATAAAAACAGAAGAAGAAAATCATTATATGAAATGAAGTGGTATTTTTTCTGAGACATGTATAGTACTCCAAACTTGTGTCTGTATTGGTGTCTGGTGTAGAAACATAAGCTTTAATTGTAATTAAGATCATTTTATTTTTATTTTGGAGTTTTAACATTTTTATGTTTAATAGGAAAGGACTATTGGTTACATAAGACACCCCTTTCTGTTGCCGTTATTTGCAGTTGCTGCAACACCGGAGTGAGTATGAATTAAAGTATAATTATCAGTTGTAACAAGGGAGGTTTTACAATAAAAAAAAATTTTTAAGTTAATTTTTATGGCTTTGTATGGTTGGTTTGCTTACTTAAAGGGGTAACAACTGCTCATATGAGATTTTATTGATGTTTAAAAAAATACTTTCAGAAAAATCTATTTGATGTATCCATATAATATGGAAAGGAGAGACTTGGATCATGTATTAAAAAATGAAAGCTCTAAACTTGAACGGCATCACAGGTGCCGCATTATGTACCAAGTGTGTGGAGGCCTGCAATATCTTCATTCACCAATTGAAAGGGAGAATGTCACAATTAGGTAACAAAACAAAATATAAATCCTTCAGATATATTTTGGTTGTATTTTTCATTTCCATTATTTTTTTAAATTTCTTTCTAGTAGCGAAGTTGCCAAAAATGAAATTTATTAATTTTATTAAAATGAAAAAAAAAATGAATTGAATTATTTTATTTTTACACTGAATATATTTTCATGGTTTTCAGGTGAATGTGTTATGTACCAGACTAACCCACAAGATTAAATACAGAAATGAAAAAATGTGAAATCTTACAAAATATATAGTTTAAATGTTGTTTTCTGGTGTGGTAAAATCCCAAACAATGTATTTACAGCATTCTTAACAACAGTGTATGAAATGGCCGCCTGCCCGCCAGCCGGAGGCTGGTAACTTTCAGGCCGGGCGGGTAAGATTTGCAACTTACCCGCCCGACGGGCTGGCTATTTTTACAGGCTATTTTCACCTTTTATTTTGTCTATGTTCACAAGCGATTTTAGCAAAATATCAAATAAACTCACTGTTTTCACCCACTTTCATAGAAGCAAAGAACTAACCATAGCTTGCAATCGAACGCTCGTATCAAAATGTAACCAACAGTCTCCCTCTCAGTGGCCTCGTTTTTGAAGTTCCGTCTGTGTGATATGAAGTAGAAAGACAATTTGAAACGAGGCACATTGTTCTTAACCAGCTTCAGTGCACAGCATTGTTATGTCATTGTTTTGTGTAGAGGAGATACTGCGAGTAGCAATTTGTAGGTTGAGAGTAATAAAAATATGAAAGTATAAAAAGTTATGATATTGATTAAATAGACTTATAGGTACATGAAGTGCTTATAATCAACAGTAGTAAAGGCAACGGAGGCAAATTAAAGGAGAATTTTACAAAAAATTTGAATCCCAAAATTATGAGTGAACATACGAGTTTACGCCGTGCATCAGATGTAGTTCTTTTCCCACGTGCTTTCTTCTTGGGCTGTCAAAAATGAAAAAAATTCTATCAAGTCCGATAGAGAAGTTCACAAAAGAAAAACAATTGAGGAAAGAAATAAAAATAACAAAGATTACGACAGAACCAAACGAAAGAGAACAAATTGGGACCATGGAAAGGTGACTTCGATTTGCAATTAGTCGAGCGGCAACATTTTTTGTAAAACCGTAACTCGAAAGTATCACGCATTGCGACCGAGCGCAAGCATCTCGATCCAATAACTCGCCCATACTCGCCCCATATAGTATATTGTAGCCTCTATGTGATATATATATAGCTATTCTCAATAAGCAATGCTTTCGAGATACAGGGCCCTGCAGGACTGTCTATGGGCCATTAGCGTGCAGGACCGTTCCCGACCGCTTTTTAAAGCTTAAAAGCCATATTCAAAGGGACCCTACGTGCTAAATTCTTTCTTCTTTATTGTTAGCACAGACATCGATTTATTTGACAACAATATATATATTTGGTCATACTTGTTGCTATACAGAAAAGCAAAAATTATGATCAAATGATATCACGAAATCGGAATAAAAGTTATGAATAAATTATTGAAGAAGAAATGAGACAGCCTGCAAGGTGAACATAAACTGAACTGACTACCCCCGCCCTCCCCCGCCCGCTAAAGGGCCCTGAAAATTTTTGGTATTTTAGATGGTGAATGGTGCCATTTGGTATGGTTTAGAACTATGATTCAACTAGTGAAAGTCTTATTTCAAGAGGTGAGGTTTTTTTACAGAAATTAAAAGGGGGGCGTCAGGAGCCCCCTGACCCCCTCTAAATCCAACACTGACAAGGTATCATTCAGTAGAAATTCCAACCAATTTCTAATTTTCCATGCATAAGGCATGATATTGCCCTTTCATTTCCAAATCACTCTCCCAAGAATGCATTCTAGACCCCCTCAGCATACGTCTCTTAACTCTAGGGGTTATCATAACTAGGGCAGGTAACTACATGGCCGGGCTGGTAACTTTTCAGAGTTACCTGCCCGGCGGTCTTGCTAGTAATTTCCTTGAATTTCATACACTGTTAACAATTGAAGACATTATTTTTTTAGTAGATCAATAAGTTATTCATCTGATTAGTATTTCATATACTTTTAGGAATTCTATCCTCCACATGAATATCAAGCCCAGCAACATTTTGTTGGATCAGGATTGGAATGCTCGCCTTAGATTTCATGGCCCCACTGCAGAGGTTACATCTGTTGATCACAGCGATCAGATTTACCAAGATCCAGATTTCCTTTCCTCTCAGGGAAAATACCGCAAGGAATATGATGTTTTCAGTGTTGGAGTGGGTAAGAAATTAAATGTTACAGCATAGTTCAGGCTCAAGCTGACAAATCAGTGACAGTGCTAGCATGTGCAAATATTTTGCATGTAGGGTCCGCTAGATTTGATCCGTGAAGCATAAGATCCTCAATTCTGAATGGGCTCCAAGTTATCTGTTTTAGAAAAGGGAAGGAAGGGTGTAGACGACTTGCATGTTGCAGTTTTCTCTAATTGGTTTTTTTAGTGATGTGGAGGTTGATGGGAGCAGAAGAAGAGTTTTTGAAGGAGTTCAGGACTGAAGATGGAAAATTTCAAGTTCATGTGGACGAGGTTACCAAAAAGGTGTGTGTTTGTGTCTGTACATGTATAAAGATCAATTACTCTGAAGTGCAGAATAATAGTGCCGGCACGATTATTTTTTTCCCGGAAATTTTCCACCCGGCACAATCTTATTTTCCCTGGCACAATTATTAATTTTCTCCCATTATCCACACAGCACAATTATTTGGCAGTCACTGTGTCGGTTGGAAATACTGTTGAACGTTTCGGAAATGTTCCTGATCGTTTCATAGGACAAGTTAATTTTTATTAATGACCTGTCGCAAGCACTACACTCGAGCTTGTTTTTAGCGTATATAAAAGTCAGTGATTCCCCTGCATTTAAATTTGCAAGTGCCTCACTGAAATTTGTCAAAAGCACTGCCTCACTGGGCTGAATGGAACAAGAAAGTATATTTCCACTCATGCTAACTGAAAATTATATTTATTTCTAAGCAAATATGGCATTTTTACTTACTGTACATAATCCCATGCTTCTGAGCACTTGATTTAGTAGTAACGGAAATACGTATGCTCATATGCCTACCAGCAGTTACTATCTCCCTGTGAGTGCCTCGTTTTCTGTGCCTAATTTGAAGTGTACGAGACAGAGCAAAACGAGGCAACTGTTCTCAACAACATAGTTATGTGTCACAAATACACTTTCTCTATCACTTCCTTATGTTCCGAAATTCAGACCGCCTGTTGTGTGTTTTTATAGTTTACCTAAATTCACTGATAAAAATGGAGAAAATAAAGTGCACTGTGTTGATTTTATAAACTTGGAGAAGATTTTCTATTGATTTACGGGTTATTTTTGTGAAAGCAGTAGCGTTGTAAAACTGGGTCAAGTCAGTATTTCGCGTGAAAACCTATGCATTGAATATGAATTTCCATGACTGAATAGAACCATATAAATGAACAAACGAAGAACTCAAATTGATGATAAGTGTGATTGTTATCTCTTTAAATCTGAAGAGGGGGGGGGGGCACAATTATTCCACTAGGCACTATTATTAAATATCGGGAATTTTTCCAGGGGGCACAATTATTCGGCTAGGCACTATTATTAATTTCTGAAAGTTTTCGGGGGGCACTATTATTCCGATAGGCACTATTATTCGGCACTTCAGAGTAATGGAAAAGTTATTAATTTTTTGTTGTATTTTTTCTTGATTGTGTAAAAAGACAAAGTTGACATTAGTCATAAAATTATATATATATATATATATACTGAACAAAAATATAAACGCACGAAAGAATATGTAGATTTATTTTCATATATGGAACTAGAGTATATAGCCAAAAATAAGAGCATATTTTTCTCGACAAATAGACATCACTTTGAGAGTATTAGGGGAAGTTTTAATGCATAGTCCAAGAGTTAGGGCATCAAATACACCATGGGGGTCAACATCCTGAGTTCACAGACACCATTAAATTTGTGCAGAGCAGTACACCAGCAGCGCATGGACATCATTAAGTTGTCAATAGAGACCTAAGGGATATTATCCCATTCCTCCTGGAGTGCTACTCGCAGTTGGCGAACATTCTCGAGAGCTGGAACATGATGGCTGAAAACTCTGATCCAGAACATTCCACAGGTGTTTGTTGGGCGACATGGTGCATGAAGGTGGATCCTAATGCTACCATTGTCTCTGAAGCATGTTCCCACACGGTTGACAGTGGAATGATGCACATTCAGGCATGCTGCAACTTCTGTTACTGACAAGCAAGCATTGAGCATGCTGATGGCATGTTGACAAGTGGCAGAAATACACATTTTGGTGTGTCCTTTTATTGCCTAGACAGTAGAGAGTGTCTGTGTATTGGTCTTGCAGATTGACCTCTACTCCGTCATGCTCCATTAGTCTTATGGGTGTAAAAACTGAACCTTTGAGTATACTCACGGGGAGCGGCCAAGTTAACCCTCAATCACCTTTCAGGGGCCTCGCAGGCCCGGACCCATGTATCTTTTGCTCTCTCTTCGTTCGCATGAGGTTTTGAGCCTGTTCCTTTCATGTAATCCTCAAGCAACTTATACCCCATCAATGGATAAATAATTAGTTTTGAAATAATTTACAACATATGTAGAAATTAACTTTTCCAAAAGTTAGTCCCATTTCTTGAAAACCGGGCCTCTGAGGCCCGGTCGCTTGATAATTTTACTTCCACNTCAAATTAAATGAGATTTATGAACGTTTTTTTTTTTTTTTTTTTTTTTTTTGGGGGGGGGGAGTCAAAATTCCATAGGGGGAGTCAGATTTTCATGGTACACCAGTCCCTTGATAATTTTACTTCCACATGGGAGCATGTGTATATAAGATATGTGATGCATTGTTGGGTTTTACTTTTGTGTTGAGCTTTGTTCATACAATGTCTAGAAATGTATTTGAGGCAATTGGCAACATGCTGCCAGATAGGGGAACAACAGTGACCCGCCAGATGAATCCTCTGGGAGTGATTATGTACCATCAGATACGTAGCTCATCAGAGTGTGATCCCAAATCATCTAGTGAAGTTATCTTATGTTATGAAGTTATGTTACCTCAAATATCTTTGCTATCAAATGCTTTACACAAGCAATATCATGTATGCTCTGACTATCAGTATATGGTCAATGAAATCTGCCTGTGAAAGATTCAAGACCTGGAGAAATTATTATTTATGAGTAATCGGTCACCTTGGTCACCTGATATGCAGATATCAGTTTAAATCAATCATAATTATACATACCTCATAGACTGCACTAGCTTTGCGAAACTTTCCATTTTGAGAAAAAAATTATTTTTCCGCATGTTCAATACACAGTGTATACTCACCCAGGTGGAGGTAAAGCGAGCAAGGGACCGGGCCTCCGAGGCCCGGTTTCAGGGTTTACGTAGGGTTCCATTTCCTTGAGGATGAGGGTTAATTCAATCGATCTTACATCTTGGAGATTGAGAAATACAAGAGACCTAATACATATTATGAGAGCCTTAAAATGTTGATACTTAAAGCTTTCATCTCTTTGTTTATATACAGTAAAATATGAATGATATAAAATGTGAATAAAAAATGACTGGTTAGTTATGGTTTGTCAAAAATTGTGAAAAGAATTATAGAAACCGTACTGCTGAGAGCCAAGGCGTGTCGACATGAGTGGTAAGATTTAATTTGAACACATGCATGTACATGTACATGTACATGGCTACATACGTAATGTATTTAATAATCACACAAACACACACACACACACACACACACACACACATATAATTAGTCTTTTTTTAAAACCAAGCTATGCAGAAGGAAGTTTTGTATAAGAAACAAACAAATAACAACCTACATAATCTACGTTAACTACGGTAATTGTCATCAAACTCTCTCTGTGCCAGCCTAGCCATAGTGCAAAACGAGCTACGACCGACTTACTCCACCTAGCTAGCAGGCGTAAATTTAGGACAAAGTTAAGACCGACGTAAACACTATTCCAGTTTGGTGCAACTGGCTTTTCTCGGGCGTAGCATTTTGCGCCCTGTTTACGCCGGCGCAACTGCTACGCCTCACTTACGACCGGTTGGTGCAACCGGGCCCTGGCCTCGTTTTTTTTTCACAGGTAGATCATATGAGGCCAAAACTGCGCAACTTATAAGGCTCAAAATTGAAACTACAGGCACAGAAGCAGACAAATCCGATAAATGACACTAAGGCAGACAAATGACACTATTGATAGACAACTGGGTGACAAACATATGTAAAGGAATATAAAGCTTGGTGTTTCGCCGGGCGTACCGCAAAATGAGAGAGGCAGCCGGAGAGAGAGAGAGCATTACTGAGCATTAATATTTGTCACGTGACACAGTGACATCGACTATGAGCACAAGATTATTTGCCAACCCATAAACTTTTGTCCTGAACACTACATTCCTGGAAGAGATGTAGAATCAAATTAAAGTAAAATCAAACCCCACCTTATTAGTAGCATAATTATATTTCGATCCTTTAAGACAAACAAAGAAACTTTTTTGGCATCTCTTAGCGCTATAACGCAGCTACTTCATTCTGAAGATAATTGCAGAATGTATAAACGTTCTTGAGGAGCTTGCTGGAAATAATCCTTGTAGTGATGAAAAACTAAGCTTGAAAGCGGAGGGCCTTATATTTGAATATGTATTCTCCTGTAGATATCATATTTCAAACAAGAGCTAATCAACCTTAAGCTTCATGGTCTAAATTTAAAAAAAAGCTTTATTGCAGCGTGTAATGCATATTGATTTGGAAATTTTCTTTGCGCTTTGAGGAACGCGTGATAAAATATTGACTTTCTATGAGGTCGTCTTTTGAGTTGGTTGAACGCGTGAACCAGACTGATCTGAAGCTGAGATAAAGGGGATTTTCACGATATTTTAAACTATTTTCCGCTTTAGAATACTATACAATGAAAACATGGGAGTGCCAGTAGCTGGTAAAAACCCGACAATGTACAAATAAACAAAGTATACATTCATGTGGTACACTGTCTAAATTCAGTGTTTGTTTTCTTATTTTCTTACATCTTATTTTCAGATTGGCGGGTTTATGAATACCCCCATTGTTTCTTATCGTAAAGTAAAGCAGTAGGCGTGTGTCTTATACAATACATGTATATCGGGTGCCTCAAAAATAAAAAGAAAGAAAGAAAAAATGTAACTAATTTCAAAGTTCAATAACTTCTCAGTCATCAGAAATTTTACTGCAATATATAAACTACTGGTACTGCAATATATAAACTGTTGAAGTTATTGAAATATGAAATTAGCAACGTTTATCTTTAATATTATTTATTTATTTTATTATTTTTTTTAGCCGCCTGATGTAAACAGGGATACCAAAGTTTCGCATATTCTTTTAAGAATTAAAATATGATTATTATGAAAAAAGTGAACAAAATGAATGCTTTTAAGCATGTACATAAAATACTTGGTGTATATATGCTTCGGTGACTGGACTACAGTTGCATGCCAAGATCATGAATCAAAATGCCAAGCACCGATTCAATATTTACGAAGATGCTGACAGTGTGTGGTGGCTACCCTCTACCAGGGCCGCAGATTTATTATATGCACTTTTCTCCAGCGCTAGAGAACAGAGAATCGATAGCATGATTTAGACAGAGAAAAACGTATGAATATATATAGTGAAAAAAACCATCTGTGACCCTGGTAGAGGGTATGTGGCGGCAAACCTATGCGGAAATAATCGGTACTAAAACGTACATACATTTCTTATTTGTTTCTTTTGATGATGCTTGTTAAAGACTTTTGTAAAATGCATGGGAAGTTTAATTTATTTTATCAAGTGAATTAAAACAACTCCACATTATTTACTAGTATTTTGCACTTATATTAAAACTTTTCAGCACCAATAATAAGGCACAAATTGGACCCTTAACGTCGATAGTCTGTTTCTCATTAC